GGTTCTCGGACTATGTGAGACCCGATGGAATGGAAGCGGCCAGACAAGACTGTCTTCAGGTGAAACCATCATTTACTCTGGACATGAAGACGCGGACCACGACCACACCCAAGGAGTCGCGCTACTACTGGCGTCAGAGGCTACAAGGGCATTGATGGCATGGGAACCCGTCTCAGCAAGACTTACGTCAGCAAGATTTAACTCCAAGGCTAGGAAGATAACCATCATCCAATGCTATGCACCAACCAACGTGGCAGATGAAGAAGAAAAAGAAGACTTTTACAGTTCCTTGCAGTCCCTTTTCGACCGGAATCCAAGAAGAGACATGAAGATCGTGATGGGCGACTTGAATGCTAAGGTGGGAGATGACAACACAGACAGAGAACTCATCATGGGCAGACATGGCGTAGGCACCTGCAACGAGAACAGAAAGCTGTTTATAGACTGCTGTTCTTTCAACGACCTCGTCATAGGTGGCACCATCTATCCTCACAGGAAGATCCACAAGACCACTTGGACATCACCAAATGGGAAGACGGACAACCAGATCGACCACTTCACCATTGACTGCAAGTGGAGACGAAGTCTGCTGGATGTCAGAGCAAGGCGCAGCACCGACGCAGCCTCAGACCATCAGTTGCTTGTGGCAACACTGAAGACCAAGATGAGATCCTCCTTCAGGCAGACCACACCATAAATTTAATATTCAGTTTGTGAAAGATGGCAAGAAAAAAAGAGAGTTCAACTGTGAAGTCAGAAACAGTTTTGAGGCGCTGACAGATCTGGTAGAAGAGACAATAGAGAACCACTGAGCTGAATTACAGAAGACCTGGGAGACTGCTTGTACCAAGGTACTGGGGAAGAGTCAGAGGGAGCAGAAGGAGTGGATGTCAAAAGAAACATGGGAGAAGATAGAGAGGAGAAGAAAACTGAAGCAGAAAATTAATAGATGTCAGGACCAACAAATGAAGGGAGACTTAAAAGCAGAGTACTGGGAAACAAACCGAGAAGTGAAAAGAAGTGCAAGACACGACAAGAGACAATACATACAAAGT